ATCTGGTAATATTATGACCTTATCCTGCTAATATGATATTAATCTGGTAATATTTTGACCTTATTCTGCTAGTATGATATTATTCTGATAGTATTACAACTTTATTCTGGTAATAATACCACTTTATGTTGTGTCTTTATTCTTGTAACTCTGCTACTTTATTCTCAAAGTATTACAGCGTGTCAAAAAAAAAAATTCTCTTAAGTATAATACTCATGGAGGTAAAAGCTTCTGCAAAAAAAGTGTCCTTCAAATAGAAAATGGTTCCACGTGGTTCAAACGTGACAAGCAGCAACAGCTCCATCCTGCTGTATATAACACTAGTGAAAAATTGAACTCCTAGTGCAACAAATGGTACTTTTGTAGTCTGAATAAAAGCAATTGGAAGAATATTCTATTTCACAAATACCATGAAACCTGTGTGAGAATCCGAAACAAAAAAAATAATAAATAAAGAAAAAAAAATGACTGACTTTTTCGGGAAGAGTCTGCAGTTCTCACGATGAGACTCCGTCTGCTGATGGGAACGCCAAGCCTGTTAAACAGAACGATGAGAAAACATCCATTAAGATAACGATATTTGAGTCCAGCTTTGATCCTTTCAGCCTACATGTAGCACCTGTGGAACAAATCGATGATCTTTATCAGTTTTTATGATAGAAACACTCTGGACTGCTGAATAGAGATCTAGCCCAATTTTCAACCTGCTTCCAAGCCAATTTTGAATGTGAAAAAAATGCAATTACATGGTTTTTGCTGGGAACACAAATTATACATTTGAAAAAAAGAATTTGTATTTAAAACTCAACAAATTGATAAAGTTACCACTGTTCGTTTTTTGGGAGTATAACTCTCATTTGGAGGGAACAAATTGGTACAGTCTGCAAAGAAAGTCACTAAATCTCTAGGTATTTTAAGAAGCAGTAGAAATTTTGTTCAGAATAAAGTGATGTTAATTTTATATTATTCGTTAATCTATCCATATCTGTCATACTGTAATATTGTTTGGGGACGTACATTTCCTAGTTATCTTAAAAACATCCTACTTTTCCAAAAAGCTTTTGTTCGCTTAGCAACATTTTTAGCAACCCTTTTCTCCAAATTACAGCTGTTGAATATTTATGAAATTAATATTTATCAAACATGAACCTTTGTTTTTATGATGAAACAAGGTCATTCTCCTGATAGTTTCAAGAATTATTTTGTAAAGAACTGCAAAGTCCGTTCTTACAACAGACAAGCTTTGTCTTTTTATTTACCATTAAGTAATAAAACTCAAGTGCAACTTCCTTTTCAGCATCATGGTGCAAAACTACGGAATAAATATGGAAAATATCTTTAAAAATAAATGGTAGGAAGTCTTTGATAAAAAATACTGTTATCCCAAAGAAAGAATTATGTATGATTTTACAAATATTGACTCCCTGAAATCTGAAAGCTAAAATGTCTTTTCTGTTTTCTCTCTCTCTCGAGTGAAATGACTTTCATAATGTGAGCCGCCTGATGTTTTGTTGTTTCAGGGGTGTGGCCTTTGGTATAAGCCCTATGGGGTTTCTGTCCATCACATTTCTTATTTTATTGATGTATTCTGAGTTTCTACTTTGATTTGTGAAAATAAAAAAAATAAAAAAATAGAATAAAAAACATAATGTAGAACAATAAGAAGGCAGAAGCAAAAAAAAAAAAGAAGAAGTCATAAGTGCTTAGATGTTTTGGAAATGTCCAGAGGAGGAATTCTAGATACAGGATGCTGGGAATTGAACAGAGTGTGATTTGATGTTAGAGGCAGATTTTCAACTGTAAGGAAAGATATCACAGAAAAACTCACGGTGATGTGAGAACATTTCTCTCTGCAGAGTGAACAGATATGCGGAAACACTCTAGGTGTGGCTCCTTCATAGTCTTCAATCATGGACGGTGAGGGCAGATTTTTAGAGAGTGACCCCTCCGATGGTTCGCCGGAGGCCAGGTTAGCTGTTAAATCCTTAAAGCCTTTTTGGGACTTTGACATCGTCTCCTTCTGTTGAAGCTCTGGGTTCTGATCCACTGGGCTCTGCTTTCTGGCTGGTTTTTCATCCTGACCAGCAGCAGACCGACTGTTAGAGCCCGTAGGTCCTGGATGGCTGGGCTGAACCCCACAGAGCATAGAGCTCGGTTTGGAGGATTTCCATTTGGACGGCTGACTTGACTCTGGTTGCTCTGTAGGGAGGGCTTTGGAGAGGTTAGGCTTTATTTCTTTTGGTTTTCCTTTGGTCAAATGCATTTTATTTTGGTGGCTAATCTGTGGACTGAGATCAGAGTTCAGATCTGCTTGCATGTTTTCTTGTTTTACTGCTGACCCCTCAATTTGTAAACTGTTTCTGACCATGTTGGGGCAGGATTCAGAGGACCTCTCCACAGATGCTCTCTCCTTCTGAAGGGATATCTGCTTCAGGATTTGGTTTAGGTTTTCAGGAGTGATCTGATGCTTATTGTTGGAGTTAAGTTCTCCCAAGTCCTCTTCTTTTAGTCCAAACCACTGATGGATCCCAGTAGTAGATTCTGTATACTTGGATTGGTCCAACCTGTCTGCTGCTGGATTTCCACCACCTGGATTAGGCTTCATGTCAGACATATTTCTCTTATGGTCACCAAAGCCAAACCCAGTAGATGAGTAGTTTCCATCCTTTTTAGGTTTTTTGCATATTGACAGCCAGGATAACGAGGTAGTATCACTATCAGAATCCGAGCTGAATCCCTGAAGAGTTGACATAGTTTAAGAAGAAATCTCTCAGAGGGCACATATAGTTCACTAGTCTACAACTCGGTATGTAACATATATTAAACGGTGTATTACGAGCCGCAAACGGGATCTATCAGGTAAAAATTGCTTGATTATGTCTTTTTGGGTGGAAAAAAAAGTTATATGGTTTAGCATTCACGAACCAGAAAAAACATATTTCACCTACTGTAAACTACCAAAATTACTCTGCTCGGGTCGCCGGTTTATTTCAAGTCCATATGTAACGACGAGGCACTAGCGCTGAGCTTTAAAACGCATTTATCAACACGTTAAGTGTTGAGTAAAACTACTAGTGTCCCTCAATGCGGGGGTCCTTCCCTTTAATAAACAGTTAACTTTCCTTCTTTCTTTCTTCTTGTTTAATGGCGGTTGACAAGCAACTTATTGGTGTGCATTACCGCCACCTACTGGTAAGGAGTGTGGATCAGGACGCAACTTAAAAAAAAACAAAAAAAAAACAAAACTAAATCCTTTCTATCAGTTTAGTTTTCTTAAGAAATCTTAATAAATGACGTAAATATTCAGAAGAGGAGCAATATCCCAACATATCTGATATTTTTAATTGTAACTTATTCTTTAGAAGTCAATATTCTAATTTCCTTCTCTCCTCAGAGTACTTTGGACAAAACAACAAAACATGTTCTACTGTCTCTTCTTGAAAACAAAATTCACAATTTCCTGATGGATGTCTTCCCATTTTAAATAATGTACTGTTTAAGCCTGTATGACCAAAACGTAACCTGGATATGATATTATCTTCTTTTCTACTTCTTCCTGTTCCCCTCATTACCCCAACTTTCCTTTGAATGCTATAAAGCCATCTACCAGTCCTTTCCTCCTCCCACTGCTTCTGCCATCTTTCCTTAACCTTTTGTTTTATAATAGATTTTATCTCCTCTTTACTAAATGGAATCAGTATCTCAATGCAACTGTTTTTTGAAGCTTGTTTTGCATATCTGTCTGCCAATTCATTACCTATTACTCCTATATGAGATGGAACCCATGTAAAAATGACAATTAATCCCATGGTCTGAATTCTATAAAGTATTAACTGAATCTCCAATAGAAGGTCTGGTCTACTATTGGAATGATTATTTTTAATTGAATATAATGATGAGCTTGAATCAGAGCAAATTAAACTTCTTAAAGGATGAACATCTTCAATCCAACTCAAAGCCAAAATAATTCCCATCATTTCCCCTGTAAACACTGATACGTCATCAGAAATCCTCTTACATTTTTTAATATTAAATTCTGGGACGATAAATGACACCCCATTGTTGTTACTTAGGCTTTTAGATGCATCTGTATACACTTGAACAAAACCAAAATATTTATTTTCTATATATGATTGGACTGAGCAAGATTCTGAAAAATTTCCTTTTTCCCTCTTCTTCAACAATGATAAGTCCAATAAACAGTTAAGGAAAAGCTACGGCTTTTTCGGAAATGCGCATGCGCACACAAAAACACTTCCGGATTCTCATTGGACGACATACATTTTTTTTTTATTATAAACCATCGGCATTAGATGTATATAAACCCGATAAACCTGTAAAAAAAATTATTTTTTGCTCAATACAATTTAATTATCACGTTTATACAATAAAATTAGCAAAGATATATTTTCTCAAGTGACAGCAATCCGCTTCCGTAGTTGTTTGCAACATACATCCTGTCTGAATGTAATACTTTTAACCAGACTAAGAATATTTAAATGCACTGAACCATTTAGTATACTATCTATAGTTCAAAAGTTTTCAGGAAAATAAAAACAATGTGAAAATGATATATACAATGAGTTCAGTATTCAGCGAGTTATAGTTGACTAAAATTGATTCTGTGCCTGGTCAACGCATTACACTGACCGCCCCAAGATGGCGCCCCTAAATCTCGTCAGCCCCTATAGGCGAGAGTGGTCGAAGCTGAGTCTCAGGGGCGGAGCTAGAAGGGGGGCCAATACATAAAATTTATTTCGCCCTCTAATACAGACGGTGGCAGCAGTAATACTATCAAGAGGAATGTTTAAACTTATTAAACATTTAATTTTTTCATATATTAATAATTACTTGAGAACTAAAACACTTTGGTTAATTATGCACATCAAAATACTAACATTAAAATTCATTCTGTTTTAAGACCCTTATTTTGTGTTTTATGGGGTAAAGAGAGAATTATGTC